CCCCCCCCCTTCCAAAGCCCTGGCCCTCCCTCCCTCCAGCTTTCCTTTCTTCCCTGCTGGCCTCCTGTTCTCCTTCTCCGCACTTCCCTGGCAGCCTTGCTCTGAATAGCAGTTTTTCCCAGCATCTTGCCCAGGCCAATCCTTCCATGCTGTCTTCAAGCCCGGCTTCCTGCACATCTCCCAACCCTGACAAGGAGAACCCAAGTAAGAAGGTCCAGTGGGCTTCTGGGAGGAGGAGGACGTCATCCACAGACTCAGACTCAAAGTCTCACACCGACCCCTCCAAAGTGTCCAGATCCCGGAGACCCAGTCGGCTGACAGTGAAGTACGACCGGGGGCATCTCCAGCGCTGGCTGGAGATGGAGCAGTGGGTGGATTCGAAGGTTCAGGAGCTCTTCCAGGTGGGTAGCACGGGGAAGGGTGGGCGGATATAGGGAGCCTGGTGGCCCGGCCTGGGGGCTGAGAGAGGGCCTGCTGGGAGACCTCAGGAGATGCTCCCATGGAGAGAAAGCTTTTCCCAACAAGTGGAGCATGGGTTTGCATCCAGAAATCTGGCCCCTCTGGTCTGAACTGGGCCTCTAACTGTCTCCATAATCTGGGGCAGGTCTTTTATCATCCCTGAGACTTGGTTTCCTAATCTCTAAAATCTCTTATAAATGCCTGTCATATCTCCTTTTAGGACTTTTTGATGCTTGAACGAGTAATAGAAGGGCTATTATTTTTTATTTTATGTCTTTATTTATTCTCATCCTTAACACATGTCTAGAGCTACATTGTCCAGTACTGTAGCTATCAGCCATGTGTATCTATTTAACTTCAAATTAATGAAAATTAAATAAAATTGAAAGTTCAGTTTCTCAGTCACATAGCCACATTTCAAGTGCCCAATAGCCCCCAAGTGGCCAGTGGCTACTGTATTGTCAGCACAGATATAAAACATTTTCATCATCTCATAATAGCAATTGGACTAGAATGTCAGAGTAACCATGGCTAATACCAGCAGCTGGCCTAGCCTTGACCCTGGTTCTGACTTGACTCCCCTCAACCCCACCCTGGGAATAGGATGGGTTCTTGGCCCCTTGTCACTAGAAGTGGTCCTTTTTTATACCTCCAAATCGGGATCCTAGAGTACTAGCAACCACTGCCTCAGTGACAAAAATAACATTTGGAGCACTTAAGTATTTGCTAGGCACAGTGCCCAGCACTTGACCTGCATTATTTCATTCAGCCTCCCCATGACTCCATTAGGTAGGTACTGTTTTACCATGGAGGAAATGGAGGCTTGAAGCTGTGGGTTAAATAGCCCAAGGTCACAGAACTAGGAAGCTGCAGGACCCGGAGCTGCAGCCGGGACTCTGCCTGCAGAGCCTGAGCACTTATGTGAGCATTTAGTGGTTCTCCACACCTGAAGTACCTCAGAAAGAAGCCGGTGTCCTGGCTGCACCTCAACTGCATTTAATTCAGATCTATTAGAGTGTGTCCCAGGCACTGGTCTTTTTGCTACGCTCCACAGTTGCTTCTAGCATGTGGCCGGCGGAGAACCACTGCACCCAGTCAGAAACCAAGAGTCCCCCTTGTCCACATGCCACGGTTCTTGTTTCTCCTCCTCCTTGACTCAGGTCCTTTTTTCTCTTTGGAGGCAGCAGGGGCCTGTGATTCTTTCAAGCAAGGGCTGTCTTAGCAGCCCTGTGGTTGGGGGTGGGGAAGAGTGATACATGTGGCACAGGCCATCGTGTGAGGCTCACTGGGTCACGTGTCAGGTGGGTCCAGGTGTTGACCATGTCCCTTGCAGCATCCTGGGCCAAGTCGTGGAGTGTGGGAGATGGCCTGGAGCTGGGAGCAGGAGAGGCAAACTTTTTTGGCCTGTGTCTGCTCTGACCTTGCAGGACACCTCCACTGCCCTTCACTACCGCCAGCAGCCTCCCTCTCAGGATCAGTTTCAATCTCAGATTGTTGCGCACTTGCATGAAAAGTCTCATGTTTCAGATACCTCAGGGCGAACCCTTCCAGGCATCAGAGAAAGACACTAGCCAAAGAACCTTGTTTTACAAGATTAAGGCATGGAGGGAGGCTGTACAATAATGAGTTCATAACATTGGAAAACAGGACACGTGGGTGGACCACTCCCAGGCAATGACCGAAATAAAATAACCTGGCGTGTAGTTGCCATGGCAATTGTCCAAAGGTACCAGGTAGCAGTTCCTTTCCCAATCCCTGCCCTTTTCAGCAGGAAGAAGCCAAGTGGCTGGGGAAGCCCCAGGTGACTGATCACCTAGGGCAGAGATGGAGGCAACACAGTCTCCAGGCTTACCCTATCCCAGGTCTACCTTCACAGAGCCCCTCGACACCCACCTGGGCTCTCCTTCACATGCCCACCTTAAATGGCACCACTGGGAACGGTTCTAGTGATGCATCACTACTTGTTTAGTTGTTTTACCAGGGCCTAACCTTCCTTTGTTGGAAGGTCCCACCTCTTCTCCCTGGGTGTATAGCCTGATTTGGGGTCTTCAGAGGAGCCAAGTCTGGGTTCAACAAAACAAACAGACTTGGGCCCCTAGAGCTCCTGTTGTAGAGCTCCTCTACAAAGGTAGAATGTGGATAAGGCTTCTAAGCAGGGACTTAAATACTCATAACTTTCTCCTATTTTACAGACTCTTGCTCAACAACATGCCCCCTCTAGTTACCATCTCCTATTTCATGTATCTTTTACGACAAGACTTCTTAAAGAATTTCTCCACACTCACACCCTTTGCTTAACTTTCCCCTTCCTATCACCATTCAAACTACTGATATCTGGCTTATGTTCCCACCCCTCTATTGAGAGCTCTTGCCAAGGTCACCGATCACTTGGGACGAGATCTAATGTACATATTAGCAGGGGACAGTGTAGACCACCCCAGATTTTTAAAACATTTTTATAGCTTCCATGACACTATCTTTTCTTGGTGGTGTCTGGCATTTTAATGTGGCCTTTTTGGTGTGGTGAGATTTTAAGAAACAATCTATTAAGCTTCCAACTTTAAAAAAAGTATGTCAGTGAACATGTCAAATAAACATTGCTAGCTCATCTCTGAGCCTTACTCTATTGCTGGTCCTGTGGCAGAGAGATCAGGAGGAAAGGGGACAGAGAAAATAGTGGAGGTGAGAAAGGGGTCAAATCAGGCAGCTCCTGGCAGGAAACCACTACATGTAATATTGAGTCACAAGTGTACCCCACTGGTTCATCTATGCAGATGTTTAATATATCCACTCATTTCCTGAGAATTCAAAATATACTTAAGGGAAGGAATATTTAGATTATTACATGAGTCCATATTCCCAGCTCCAGGCTGCAGTGGCAATCTAATGCTCAGTAATATACATACCTTATGTTCAATATATTAATACATATAGTTAACATCATAAATGATATAAAAATGATTTTTAGGTTGCACTAATACTTTTTTACAGGCAGAATTTTATTTATTTTTATTNCCCCTACCTTTCCTTGGGCTTTCCCTCCTAATATCCAGCCAGCCCCTGGGTCCTGACAGTCTTTCTTGATAATTGCTCACATCCATCCCTTCTTGTCTATTGTTACTGCTGCCCTTGCTCTGGGCTCTGTGCCAGCTTCCAGATGGACTCCCAGCCACTCATGGACTGCATGAGATTCCCTCCTCCAGCCCTGCCTTCATCTTCCCTCCACCCGTTCAGACCCTTGGTGACCCCCAAGAGCCTCTCTGGAAATATGCACAGAACCAGCTGTTCCCTGGATGAATTCATAAAGTTTCGTTTGTGGAGAGGCAAAGAGTGTCAGAGCTGTTGGGAGCCTTAGTTAAAGCCTTTCCCCTTACATGTAGGAAACTGAGGCCCAGAGATTCGTCCTTGATCTGTTCAGAGACATGTAGCTAGTGTGTGGCAGAGGCCAGCCCAGACTCCAGGTCTCTTGACTGTCAATCTTGGGCCCTTTCCATAATTCTGACCTGCCTTTCTACAAAGTATTTGCAGATTATATTGTTTTCTAATTCTATATTACAAGCCCAAGGACAGGTGTCTGGATGAGTTAGCTCTTTTTTTAGACCATGTGGCTCACTCTCCCTCTGTGAGCTTGGGGAAGAGAAGGCATGAGTTTATGCTACAGACTTCATTCCCATTTGCCATATCACCAGTACCAACCATTGCTCTTAGGTGTGGGTGGTTTGGTGAAAATATTCAGTTCTTAACGCCACAACTAGAAAAGGAACATTGAGTACCGTGTCTCAGATGGTGGTGTGGTGGCTTCTATAGGTAGGTGTGGTGGATTGTCCACAAAGATGGCCAGATAGTAGACCCAACCTCACCTTCCTGTATGTGTAGGCTGTTCCTCCTAACAAGAGGTGGCATCTATCTTTCCCTTCCCTTTGTTACTTGCTTTGACTAATAGGACATAACAGAAGTGGTGCCATGTGACTTCTACGCCTCAGCCCTGTAGCTTCCATTTTTCCCTCTTAGGACCAATTGTGATGCAAAGAAATTTGACCAGCCTGCAGGAGAGAGAGGTCACTGGAAGAGAGCAGGACCCTGGAGGATGAGACTCTTAGGGAGAGAGAGGGGTCCAGCTAGCTCACAGTCAACACCAGCTGAGGAGCTCCATGAAGCATTCTTAGTCCCAGTCAAGTTGCCCCAGCAGAGATTAGCTGCACCTAACAAGCCTTCCCCAAGTTGCAGAATCGTGAGCAAATAAATGGCTGTTTGTTTTAGCCTTTAAATTTTGGGGTGGCTTTTTATGTGGCAATAATGACTGAAACAGAAGGATAATATATTTATAGAATAAATTTTAGTTTTAATAATCTAAATAAAAACCCACCAATTCCCCTGATAATGTAGAATCAAGATTTTTTAGTAAGGAATTGTGGGGAAAGTAATGCAATAGGTGAGGCCACTGTCATTGGTTTAATCTTTATTTAAAGGAGACAGATCCTGGGGCAGCCGGTTAGCTCAGTTGGTTAGAGTGCAGTGCTCATAACACCAAGGTTGCTGGTTCAATCCCCACATGGGTCACTGAGCTGCGCCCTCCACCGCTAGATTGAAACAACTACTTGACTTGGATCTGATGGGTCCTGGGAAAAACACACTGTTCCTCAGTAAAAAATAAATAAAATAAAGGAGACAGGTCCTCTCAGATACTGCTGCAGCCCTAAAAGGGACATTTTTGAAGAATTCTACTGATGTCAAAAGTGTTCACAATGTTCCAGTGTGGTAGGTAGGTAGCCTCTAAATGGCCACTGATTATCTGCACCTGCTAGTATTCATGCCTTTGTGTAATCTCCCCTTGAGTGTGGCTGGACCTCCTGACTGGCTTCTGATGAGCAAAATACAGCAAAAGTCATAGGATGTCACTTGCTAGATTAGGTTACAAAAAGACTGTAGCTTCCATTTTGCT